ATTACTCCACTTGGATTTCTCCGTAGTGGGTACAATATAAGCGCATTCAATAATTTCCCATATATCGATATTTGTAGATCTAGCGAAAATGTTAAATCTAGCACACCATTATTCATAGGGAAAATTATTGATTCTAGGAGCAATGTTAATATCATAACTAAGACTACGTGCACCGTGCATGTTCATGATATGTGCAAACAAGAAACAAATAATATCAAAATAAGATTAGCAACAATATTAAAGCTTGGACCATTAACTCAGGGCGGTTAAACCTTAAATCAAGAGCACCAAGCTCTGATACCAATTGAAAGTACCATAGAGGGGGTGAATAAGGTTATTACTAATCTTATTAGATATTAATGCCAATTAAAAGTTATTAACAAATATATTCTAACAATGATGATATTCAATAAGCTATATGCAAGGATATATATGCAAATGGAAAAATAAACAAGAAACAATATAAACAAATAGTGGACACAAAGAGTAATCCAAACACAATAATATGATCACGGAGTTCAGACCTTCCGTCCTGCGTCTCCGCTCCTCACTCCCGGGGAGAACTCCATTATTGACACACCCGGTTTGGAAGCCAGAACTTCTCTACACACTCGGTTTTTTAGTTCATCAAAAACTCTACAAATCTCTCATAATGTACATACACAAACTACAACCTCAAGTGTTGGTCCTCACGTATCACCTTCCTCAAGTGCTTAGCTTTACTACCTCTCTCTAGGCTTTACTACCGATGCCACTCCTCTTGGTATCGACTACGTCCTCACCACACACTCCTCTTGGTGTAAATGTGTATTATAAAGTGATACTCTCACAATTAGGTCTCAATTATAATATTTGTTCTCTATAATAGATGAGAACATAATTTATGCTCACTCTCAAGGTTACACTCACCACAACCCTAAATTATACAATATGTGAAAATAGTTAAGCTCAATGGGTGTGTGTGCAAACAATGAGAAAATCAAATATAAACTCAATTAAATCTAGCAAATATGAATATAATAATTAAAGCATAAACAAGCTAGAGATATGAGTTTAGAAACACTTCTCTAATCACAAGAGAGAGGGATAGGAAGATTAAAAGCCCAAACTAAAATTGATCTTCTCTTCTTATAAAACAATCTTCACAAAACTAATTTTGTAAACAAACACTTAAAACAAACTAAAACTCTTTTTAAACTTATTTTAAAACTTCCCTTCTTGGTTCAGAAGTGAAATGGTATAGAGTATATCTAGGATGAAGAAACAAAGCTCAAAACCTAAGTAAAATCCAGTAAAATAAAAAAAAAATAAAAAACTAGAAATATAGCCGTTACAGGCCATCAGTCGACTGACGGGTTGGATCAGTCGACTGATGAGCTAACCATTATAGGCAGCTAACAGCTCATCGGTCGACTGATGAGCATAGTCAGTTGACTGATAACCTCATCAGTCAACTGGTTAGTCGATCAAAACGAAATAAAAACTTTTGATGATTGCAGGCAGTTTCATCAGTCGACTGATACAAACCATCAGTCGACTGATAACATGTTATCAGCCTGGATTGAATAGTAAAAATGAACTTCAAGCCTCTTTTTAAAATATCAAATAAATTTAGAAAAATATAAAATTTTGAAAAATTATTGTAAACATGATAATGAACATGTTACAAAAAGTTTTTTTAAAATTTCATTTCCCATTTGTAAAATCTCATCATTTTGCAAAATCACATAAGTATGAACATGTTGAAAACTTGATTTTATCAAAATGACTTAAACAAAATTTTGAAACACTTTAAAATGGATTTATAGACTTATACTAGATATAAAAATAGTGTAAGTAAGTCTTCAATCCATAAACATAATATTTTACAAATTCAATATAGTATGAAGCACATAAATGTGAATATATATTGCTTCATATCTATATAGCTAAACCAAAACAATTTATTCACATAGAAAACAAATAAGTACTATATATTTATTTGTTTGCAAAAACTTTTGTGGATAATACACATAAACCATTAAATTGTGTGTGTATAATATTAAGCTTAAGATATTAACACACAAAGTATAAATCTTAAACTAATTTACCCAAGGTTGATAGATCTTCAATATGCTTGACTTAGTTACGGATGAAGCTTGATCTTGAATATGACTTGATGTACAATGGTTTCATACCGATATTCCGACAACTTTCCATTTGATGTGATCGTGAAGGCTCAATCCATCCAACCTCCAATGTATTGTTTGTCTAGAATATCTAATAAGAAAACATAAACACTAGACAAACAATATTAGGAATTATTTGTAATCATCAAAATAAGATTAGAAGATGTAGGCTAATAACATGAGATCTAACACTTATTTCGGCGAAATTGTTGACGCGTTGACCGTCATTGTCCTCCGTTGTGGCATGAACACAATTTATACTCATACGTTAACTAGAGTCTATACAGTTTAGGCTCTTACGGTATTAGAGCTTTAGAGCGTTGAGAATTAGTTTACACTCGTATACTCATCAGAGTTTTGGGCCGGAATCAGTTTAACCTTATATACCCGTTGAAGGTTTAAGGAGATTGTTTGTTGGAAAATTTGTAACAAGACAATGAAAGAATTAAATGTTTTATTCTCTCTAACTCAATTATAATTTGATTTTTTTGATTATAAAAGAGAAGAGAATTGATGTGAAATTTCTCCTTTGTTTTAGTCTGGGTTCTTCACGGTGGCGATGGAATGCCTCCTTCGAATGCTCGCATCGAGCTTGCTTTCCGTTGACGATCTGACGTTTTGTTTCACTAGAACGTGGTCTTCTCCTCCCGATTTGACACTGTGAAGAACTTGCAAAGAAAGTTTAAAATTAACTCTTGATGAGTTAATAACTCTGAACGAGTTTGAAACTTTATGAAAGAGTAGATTTAACCGAAATTGGTTTATAGGCCAAGGATGAAGAAAGCTCCTGTTGTCGATCTCCAAAGTTCCAGCAATTACCCTAAAAAGCCAGCCCCAAACTCAATTGAGTTTACTCATATTTATAGAGGTTTTAGGGGTGTAACCGCCCCCTAAAATCTCTCCTTAATGGGGTGTAACCGACCCCATTTTGTGAAAAACTATTTTGAAACCATTCAAGAGTTTAAGGGGTGTAACCGCCCTCTAAAATCTCTCTTGGGTGGAGTTGTGATCCCCTCAGATCGTGGGAAACGGTTTTTTGGAACTGTTTGAATGAGTTAAATGTAGAGAATAGCGTTCTGGGCCCGAACTCTACGTTTTAGACTTGAAACGCAGAGTAGTCTAAAACGTAGAGTTCGGGCCTATTTTGGTGGTTGAGAACACATAGGTCGCTCTGCATTTTGACGTTGCAACGCAGGTCAGACCCGTGCATTTTGATGTTGCAACGCAGGTCTGACCCGTGCGTTTAGACTTGAACGCTGGGGATGAACCCTACGTTTTGATTTGAAGAGACCGTCAATTTATAATCTCTTTTGCTAGAGCGTTGTAAAGACTGTCATCTTGTAATCTTCGTCTTGGCTCCTTAAAAATATGAGAGTCATCAGATTATAACCCCCGATGTTGATCGTGAATGTTATTGATTAGAGCTTTCATAAGTTATTGCGAAGGTCGTCAGATTGTAACCTTCATCGATTTATGTGAAAGTCCTTAAATTATAGACTTCTAGAAGTCGTCAGATTGTAACTTCCATCATTGGTGTTTGATGGGGGATCTACTATCTACAGTGATTTTTAGATAACCTACAGAGATGCAGTTTATACTCATCGAAGTGTTTGCCATTCTTATTTAGCTTGTTTTGTCGTTATGACACCGATATCAACCAAGGCTTGAATGTTGTTCTTTAGAGTAAAACAAGTCTTGGTTGGATGATGGACCTTCCTATAATACACACAATACTTTGGATCCGAGGTCTTATTTGCTTCCTCCTGATTTGTAATCGATGGCAGCTTGATTTTTTTGTTGAAGAGGAGGTACTCAAAGATGGCTGGAACTTCATCATCTTCAAAAGAATACTCCTACTGGGATCTAGGATCAGTTGCAGGTACCTTAACCATTGATTGGCTTCTCTCATCCTTCTTTCTTTTGAGAAAGCATTTGGCCAGTTCACCGTGTAGTTTTAACCCTTTCCATGTGGTTGAAGGTACAACTCCCATGACCTCCAGGACATCTAGAGAAAGGTTATTGTGGCAAGTTTACAAGATGAATTTCTCCATGACCGGATCACGGTAGTTCATCGCCTGGTTGCGGAAGCATTTGACAAAGTTATCAACCGTCTCCCCATCCTTTTGCTTCTAATCTAGAAGAGCTCTAATCGACACTTTAGTGTCGTCATCGAAGAAGTGGCTGAGAAATAGGCTTTCCATGTTATCCCAACTATTGATGCTTTCAGGTTTGAGATGTCGATATCAATTGAAGGCGGCCCCGTGAAGGGTGCCCACAAATGAATGAGTCATCAAGGGTTCATTCCCAGAGATTACTCCTAAGTGAGACTTGAAGTAGATCAGGTGTTGGGTTAGTGAGCCTCTCCCATCAAATGGCGTGAAGTTAATCAAATTGTACTTCGACAGGTACGGAATCGTGTCCTACTCCTTAGACACGGGCACAAAATGCCTGTCTTCTTTACTTCTTGAGTGGACATTAAGGCATTAATCTTACTCTCGAGTTCTCTCATATTCTTGTCCTTGCCCGCATCTCTCTTTGAGCGATGTTGAGGAGAAGCAATTGGGCCACCCGTAGTTTCATTGAGGGGTGCAATTAACTACCCCCGATGTTATCGAGGGGTGCATCAGCCTTGATGACTTCATCCACTTCAGGATCACTATCGTCTGCACCGTTTTAAACGGGCATGATAGGTGTAGTGCGATGGCTAGACTCAGCCCGCTGACTGAACTCTGGTGGTCGATGTCTTTGAGCTTGCAACTCTCTCATTTGTTACATAGCCAACTCCATCTCTATTTTCATTTAGGCTCTAAGCTCTTCTCGTTGTTTGGCTAGAGGTTCTTGAAGGGTCTAAGCTACGAGATCAGGAGTGATCGTGAATGCCTCTCTGGTTTCCCTCATGCTAGATATGGTATCATCAGAGGTGATTGCGGAGCAGGTATCCAAAAGTTCATCATCCGAAGACAGTCCTTCGTGAATTCTAGTGGCTCCTAATTAAAGCCGAAACATTCGTTTGGCTATTCTTGGATCGACTTTTTTCCCGGAGAAAAGTCGGGATTAGAGTCATTTGAAGCAATTGCAGACTTTTTTTGATAGCCATATTGACGGTGACTTCAGGTAATTCATCATCCTGGACGACAGATTTTCTCTCGTGGAAGCATTTTGATCTGAGCTTTGATGCTTCAGTTGTAATTTTCTCAAATACCGAGACCCTTTGTGAAATGATCATGGGGCAACTACATTTTGATAATATTGCCCTGGTAAGTCTCTCGCATGGACAATAAGAACTTGTTTTTCAGATAATTATGTTTTGAGATTTGTTCGTACCCCCAGCCTGATAGCACAACTCGTCGCATTATGACCAAAGCATCCTATTGTTCGTTGGTGCGATATTACGTTAGGAGTCACATGTTTAGAACCACTAGGAGTCACATGTTTAGAACCACCCCCTTGCGAGTGTGGAATCTTAATGGGTTTCTGGACTTCAACATGAACCCTCAGTCGAGAGGTGACAAGAATTCTCTTATGCACGGCACATGAACGTATACAATGAGGTGTCCTAGTTTGTTTGGATATGGCGGGACACCTTTGAACAGCAGATGGCTTGACGGGAGAACATGTACGACCCCCAGTTTGTGGAACTACTCAGGTTTTGTTTATCGGAGCTTTGCCTCGATTTTTGTGGGAAGGACCAAGGCGATATACCATCATAACCTTGAATTTTGACAGGTCAATGCTACCGTGAGGCTTTACTAGAGGTACGAAAGAGACTGGAGCAGGAACAGAGGCTGACAAAAATGGAGAAATAGCCGCGGGAGATTTTATTTGTGCGAGACAGACTTCCCTGTCTCGTCCAGGCATGAGACATGTTAGGTTGTTTCGGCCTGCGAGATAGACTTCTTTGTCTCGGCTGGGAGAGATAGTTCCGACTATCTTCCTAGTTGATTTTCGCCTGAGTTCAAATTTTGGAATCCAGACTCGGCGGTTCTTCGACCACCTCTTTCTTCTTTAATTCTTGTGCTTTTCGCACAAGGGCACGCGCGTGTACGGCACGTGTGTGACGTTTTTGGATGCGCTCCTTAAGAGTTGAGTGGGATCTTTTGATGAGAACCTATTCTTCCATTGATGGTTTTAAGGAAGTAACAACAAATTGTCGTTGAGGCGATTGGATTATTTGATGTTTCCTGGATTCTAAGTCTGCATATCAACAAACCCAATCGACTTTTTCTATGGCCTTAGCAATTTGACGAGCTTAGCATTGGAGCCCCCTCTGATAAGCCCTCTTCGTCAGAGTTTGCGTACTTTGGTTGAACAACTCCTTGACTGGAGATGAGTTGTAGCGAGCAGAGTCACTTGTAGCCTTCATCGGTGAATATGCCTCCTTCAAAGACGAGATCTTTTCGCACTTGCAGAGAGAGGAGGATTTTGATAAAGACGAGTAGAAATATTCCTCGAACTTGACTTCGTCGAACTTGTACTCGACCACTAAATCAACGGGGATCTTGATCTTCGGTTGTGATACGACAACCTTGGTGATGAGACTGTTGCCTCCCACTATGATCGCTAGAGTGTTTTCATCAGAAATCAGTTTTATTGTTGAATCTGTTTCAACATTTATCATTTACACAGATTCAAAAGAGTGTATCTTTTTATAAGATCTCTCGTTACAACGAAAATAAATAAAGACTTCCTAGAAACACATGCAGAATCGTTTATCGATCGCTACTTGCGTCGGATCTTTGCATGTACCGGGGACGCTTTGATCCGTGGACCACCGAGTATTAGATTCGAATTGATCGGAATGAAGGCTCGCAATTCTTGTTTTGTTTTAGACACAAGAATAGAAATAAATATCTCAATAATATGAGATAAATATTCTTCTCGAGATCAAAACGACTTTGATCCTAAGGAATAGGTGAAAAGGCAATAGATCTCTCGAAATTCTCCCTTTATGTTCAGAAAATCGCCAAGACCTCGCCTCTCTCTCTGAAATTTGTGGGTCTGCTCTTAGAACGTCAACATCTTGCCTCAAAATTCTGAATTTTAGATCTCCTGTGCATAGGGGCACTATGGGTGTATTTATAAGCTTTGGATGATGTGTTTTCAGATAAGATTTCCTGATCTGGTCATCTCTTTAGTTAAAAATAACTTTACCACATTTAGGGAGGCACCGGGCAGCACGAATCATGAGAAATTATCAAAAAATGAGTTTTAGGGGAGTCTGACTGTGAGAGACCGTTTTTATCTATCTCAGCATGAGAGACAGTTTTTATCTGTCTCGGGTTTCAAGACACATTGGTTGTGTCTTGTTTGTCGCTTCGTCAATTTGTACGCTTTGTTGGTTCTTTGTTTCGTTGTTTTGCGCATTCCTTTGCTTCCTTTTGTTATCGGATGATCTTCTTTGACTCGGATATCGACGTTCTTCGTCTTCTCTTTATGTTGAACTACGTGCGGGAACCTATAAGTAATTTTTGATGCCTACAGAGTGCTATGAGGAGGCTATGCAAGTTAGTGAATCTCAATAGTGGGAGCATGCGATGCAAGAAGAGATTGATTCTCTACACACTAATGAGACATGAGAGTTAGCCCAGCTACCTGCGTAGAAGAAAGCCTAACATAACAAATGTGTCTATCGGGTCAAGCAGGAGAGTGATGAAAACAAGAAGTACAATGCCATATTAGTCGTGAAGGGGTTCCAACAAAGGGAAGAAGTGGACTATACAAAGATATTTTCCTCCATTGTGAAGCTTACAACCATCAGATCGGTGTTAAGCTTAGTAGCTGCAGAAGATCTCTACCTTGAACAATTAGACGTGAAGATTGTCTTTCTTCATGGTAACTTGGATGAAAAATCTACATAAAGTAACACGTTGGCTTCATTGAGGAAGAAAAGGAAGAGATGGTGTGTAATCTCAAGAAGAGCTTGTGTGGTTTGAAACATGCTCCAAGACAGTGGTACAAGAAGTTCGACAACTTCATGCAAAACAATGACTATGGAAGATGCAATTCAGATCATTGTTGCTACTTCAAGAGGTTCGAGTCTAGCTATATCGTGTTATATTATATGTTGATGACATGTTAGTTGTAGGACTATGTTTAGAGGAGATAAACAATTTGAAGAAGCAGTTGGCGAAGGAGTTTGCTATTAAGGATCTAAGTACAGCGAAGTAAATTCTTAGGATGCGAATCAGTAGAGATGAAGCTGAAGGGACGTTGAGGTTGAGTCAGGCTGAATACATCGAGAAGGTACTTCAGAGATTTAACATGAAGAATGCTAAGCCCGTCAGCTCTCCCCTTGAAAGTCAATTCAAGTTATCTAAGGAGAAATCACACAAGACAGATGTAAAGAAGGGGAACATGAGCAGAGTGCTATATTTGTAAGCCATTGGTAGTATTATGTACACGATGGTTTGCAAGAGACCGGATATCGCCCATGCAGTGAGAGTTGTGAGCAGGTTTGCAAGCAGTCTAGGGAAGCAACATTGGAAGGCTGTGAAATGGATATTGTGTTACTTAAGAGGGACTACGGATATGTCATTGTATTTTAGGAGGAAGTGGTCGGTACTATGGGGATACGTGGATGCAGATTTCGCTGGTGATCATGATACGAGGTGAAGCACCACAAGGTATGTTTATACGTTAGCATCGACAGCCGTGAGCTAGGTCTCATGTCTATAGAAGATACATTGTTCACGACTGAGGCAGAGTATGTCGCAGTGACTGAAGCCAGGAAGGAGATAATTTGGTTGACCGGGAGCCTAGAAGAGTTGGGTTTGAAGCAGGGGAACAACATTCTTTATTGTGATAGCCATTATACTATACACCTTGCCAAGAATCTAGTATATCATACTAAAATAAAGCACATCGACGTACGTTACCACTTCATACGCTTGCTGATTAAGGACAGGAAGTTACAACTAGAAAAGTTTTTGGAGAGTCAAAATCCTACGGATATGTTGACGAAAGCAACAACCATCGACAAATTGGAGTTGTGTGCACTTCAGTTAGCTTTCACGCATAAGAGACGAAGGTGGAGCCACACTAGGAGGATAGGCAGGTCCGTCGAGATGATATTGATTTAAGAATGGATTTTTTGGGTAGGAGAAGATGCTTGTGATGACGATGAGAGATCGGGAGAGCTCGTTGATGGCAGTTTCATCTCCAAGTGGGAGATTGTTGGTTTTGGTTGTGTGAAGAACGAAACCTGAAACAAATCCGCGAAGCTGAAAAATCTCGGGTTGGTCGACAGACGGAGTGACCCCGGTCGACCGAAGAGACTGCAGAAAATGAGCTTAGGAACACGATGTTGGCCTTTTTGTTTTGATGATATTTTAACAAATAATTTATGTCTAATATTGTTTGTCTAGTGTTTGTGTTTTCTTATTTATTCTAGACAAACAACGATATCGGAGGTTGGTTGGATTGAGCCTACACAATCATATACATTGGAGGATGGAAGGAATAGTAGAGTGAAGCAATACACTTCAAGTCAACTATTCAAGTTCAAGCTTCATCTGCATAGTTTACCAAGTCGAGCTTATTGAAGATCAAGATAGCTTGGGTAATTAGTTTAGGTGCTATATTATGTGTGTTTAATACAACAAGCTTAATATTATACACACACACACACACACACACATTTTATGAGTTTATCCGCTTTAGGTTTTACCACAAACAAAGTTTTTTTAACAAATAAATTTATGTTTATATACATATATGTTTGTTTTAATGTGGATAAGTTATTTTAGTTTAGTTATATAGATATGAAACAAGAATATATACATATATGTTTGTTTTAATGTGGATAAGTTATTTTAGTTTAGTTATATAGATATGAAACAAGAATACATTCATATACATATTCATATTTTAGTTTAGTTATATAGATATGAAACAAGAATACATTCATATACATATTCATATGTTTCATATTCTATGGTATTTTGAAAAATATTGTGTTTTTTGTTTATAAACTTAACAACTATAGTTTATACCTTTTATCAAGTCTATAAAATTATTTTACAAAGTTTTAAAAGTTTGTTTAAAACATTTTGTCAAAAACATGTCTTGTTTAGCTTTCATGTTTTGGACTTTTTTGAAAAATAAAGAGATTTCTCATTTGGGAGGTGTAATTCTAAAAATACTTTTTGTAACATGTTTATTATCATGTTTACAATCATTTTCTAAAGTTTTACATTTTTTGAAATTTATTTGCTATTTTTAAAGGGACTTTTAAAATTAGATTTTCAGCATGAACAGTGTTTGTGCATGTTTTAAGTTGACTTATAACACCTGATAAGTCGACTTATGTTCTCTTCTGGAATGATCAAATTTTCCTCTGCCAATTCAACTTATCAGTCATGGAAAGTCGACTTATGTCTTGTTTTCCAGTTATTGTTTTCATCTCTTAAGTTGACTTATACTTTATACGAGTTGACTTGTATCAAGTCGACTTATAAGTCAACTTATAAATCTGACCGTTGCACAGTAATGGCTATTTTTAGATTTTGTGTATTTTAGTGATTTTTATGGGTTTTTGAGGTTTTCTTGGGCTGGTTTCTTCCACCATATATATACCCCATTGTCATAACTATTTTGATCTACCAAGAGAAAATTTTTAAAGAGTTTTACAAGTTTGTTTAAGGGTTTTAAAAGTGTGTTTAAGAGTTTGGTTTGTGAAAAAATTTTCACAAGAGGTTGAGGAGATCATCCTTTGGTGTTTGAGCATTCAACTCTTCTCCCTCTCTCTTGTCATCTAGAAAAGTTTTTCTAAACTCTTGTCTAGCTATTTATATGTTTGATTTTCATTTCTTTAAGCTAGAATTTATATTGAGTTTAATTTGATTTTGATTTATACTCATTGTTCATACACAACCTATTGAGCTTATTGTATTTGTATACATAGTATATATTCGGGTTGTGAGATTGTGACATTGAGAGTGAGCCTTAATTAAGTTCTCATCCATAATAGAGAACAAAATTTTTTATTTGAGCTTTTATTATGAGGATACACTTTTTAATACACTTGTACACCGAGAAGAGTGTGTGGTGAGAGACGGGATCGTCCCAAGAGGAGTGACGTCGGTAGTAAAGCCTAGGGAGAGGTTGTAAATCCGAGCACTTGAGAGAGACACGGGCTAGAGACCAACACTTAGAGGGTGTAGAGTGGATTTGCAAGAGTGTTGATTGTAAAGTTTTTGGTGAGCTAGAAAACCGAGTGTGAGTTGTAAACGTTATTCAGGTGAGCGTTGAAAACCCGGTTGTGTAGTGGATTTTTTCCGAGAGTGGGGAGCAGAGACATAGGATGGAAGGTCCGAACTCCATGATCATTTCTTGTGTGTTTGAGTTTGGCTTGTGCACTTATATTTTGTTTATCTGTATCACCATTCTTTCATTGTCTAATTTATCTACTATGTTGTTTGTATTTGTTTATACTTTACTTACCATTGTTTGTATATCCTTGCATATATATCTTATTGCAGGTCTAATTTGCTAGGATATTTGTTAATTAGTTTTTATTGGCATTAAATCAAATTAGATTAGCATAAACCCTATTCATCACCTCTCTAGGGTTCTTTCCTAGTGGTATTAGGGTCTAACACACGCTCTGGCCGGTCGACTGAAGCTGTGTTGTCGGTCGACCGAGGGTGACCAATCACTCTACCGAGGGCCTTAATCTAACTGACCGAAAACATACACGAAAACCCTATAAAATAAGTGTGTTCTGGCTAGTCGACCGACACCCATGGTCCGGTTGATCGGAATCGGTTTTTTCTAGTTTCCTGCTTTGTTTGGGAATCTGTTTTGGGCCATGATGCTATATATACCTAAACGATTTTAGAGTTAGTTGCAACATAAAAAAGAGGGTTTTGAGAGGATTTTTTCAGAGAGATCTCAGAGAGATAAAAACCTATTTGTGAGCATTGTAATCTTCTTCAATTAATCAAAACTTTTAGGTGTGGCTCCCGAGGACGTAGGCACGTTTGTCGAACCTCGTTAAATCTGGTGTGTTCTTTTTGTTTGATCTTTCCTGCAACTTTTTCCTTTATTTGCTGTGATTTCCCGCTTGCCTACTTCGACACAAGATCCGAAATGATACATGTTCGATTGTGTGATTCGAATCCCCAACAATGGGTATTTTGACAACTAAATTGCAAGATCCATTAGGATTTGAGGGACCAATGAGCAATTATTGAGATTTGAGGGACTACTAGTCAATTATTGAAGATTTGAGGGACTAATATCTAAATAACCCTTTAGTATAATGACATTACCCCATATCTAAATAACACCTTGATTCGGGAAGTTAGATTAGCATATTTTATTTTCTAATACTTCTTAGCTCCTCAAACTATACTACACCCTTTTCCTTCATCTTTTATAGGTGTATTCTTTATTTGTTTCCTCTGCTTAATAAATTTGTGGATTGTCCTGCCCGAATTACTCAAAAAAGAAAAAAAACAAAGGAAAAAAAACCATTCGATAATTAATGTGTCACCAAATGCAGCATTAACATCACAACAAAAAGTGGAACCAACACTGGACAAACATTATACTAGACTATCTATCCAAAACAGTGCATGCAAGAAATAATTGCCCCCAAACGATGAATAATGTACGCTGCCTTTTGCTTCTATATATTCTCCACTTTGTAGGATAAGTCAACCACTGGACAGATTCATTCAAATCCCTCATCCCTAACAGTTATTGAAGCCAAGTTGCCTCTTCTTGCATTAAGACTGGTCAATATTTACTGTACACGGCTCACCCCTAGGAGCTCAACTTGATAAATTTATGGGTTTCGGAGCAAGTTCTATATATTCTACATCAGCGTAATCTAGATTCTCCAAACCCTCAATTTACACATGACAAGGTTTATTGGTGTCTGTGGAGGTAGTTGTTCTACTGTTCTCCCCCAGTCTTGATGGAAGCTTTAGTATTCCTCAAAGGTGCTCGATCGCGTCGCCAAGTATATGGGAGGCTCTACGGTAGAGTTTGAATTGGATGCGAAGTTAGTTATTGATGAGTTAAATGGTGGTAAAGATTGCTTAATTAGCTGCATTTGGTCCTATTTGCAACGCTATTCAATTGGAGGCTTGTCATTTCCCTTTACACCGTTTTTCCTTCGCTTATAGAGAAGGCAACAACATTGCTTATTCGATCGATTGCGAAGTTTGGAGTCACAAGTAGCATGTATTGTCATTGAATTTCTTCTTATTCTGAGTTTATTGCCCAGGATATTACTGGTGATCTAGCTTCGATTAATCCTTATTAATTTAATCCATTTTTCCTTTTAAAAAAAAGTTCCTCATGATGTATGGAAATTGATAATGTACTTGGAAACTCGATAAGTATCTTCCCACAATAAAAGTTTCAAAATACCCATTCAACAAGTTTTTCAGATACAAGTCGGATCCAAATTTCAAATCCGATCTGCTTTAAAAAGATTCTTTAACGATTGAAAACTTGTAAAGATAGTCTTGAAATGATATTGTAGACGAGTTAGCATTGAAGACGTCCCGATAGAACTTAATGATCCAGAATGTTCCTTTGTAAGCAAAAGCTACAATTTGCTTGGGCGTCAGACGCTCATTGGTGCTACTCAGGGCATGTGAAACTTTTCTAG